TTACACTCCATAAAGATTTGTTCATATTTCATAGAAATGTATTTACACTCCATAGAAAAATGTGTTTACTCTCCATAAAATTTGGTTTATTGCTAAAAGTTACTCAATAAGAGAAAAATTGTTATTTGTCATAATCCTATTCTTTTTGTTTTCGAGACTTAGTTAGTCTCGAAGGGGGGAAATATGTAGTATCTGAACAATTTATGACTTTGCTGACGGTTGCAAATGGTCTTAGAGGATGTTGACTCAGCTTAAGGGAGCATCTGGAGAGTAGTTCTATAGGGGCACCCTAAAACAGAGGAAGTCTTCTAGGTGGAGTCCTGGGATTGGTCTGTAGGGGAAAACACCCATATCAGGTTACATAGGATATATATACTATGGTTTGGGACAAAGGAGGGCAGAATAACATATTAGAGATTGGGTCAGGTTATTCTCCAGATATCTGCAGATATCTGTAAATTGACGCTGAAATCCTTTGATATAATAAACCTTTATGATCAAAGTACAGTGTCAACGGATTCCTTGTTCTCACAGCATCTCAGCATAGTTCTCGACACTACATTAATGGCGACGAGGGTGCCCACCCAGGGACGCTACACTAATCAATTTGGCTATTTAAGCTCTGAATATCAGCTACCCAACTTTATCAGGATTTGGATACATATTCAATCTAAGTATCTGCTTTACAAAATGCAATATTCACTTTACTTTTTACATTTTCTTGTCATTTGTTAACAATAAAATGAACTATGACTTAATCAAACTGCTCAAAACTGATAACCACTGAACCAAAATGATGTAGTGCTTAGTTAACGTATACAGCTTGATAACTTTTGAACACAGTACATATCAAAACGTAACGTTAGTAGGTCAGTAGGGCTAACGTTAGCAGGCTAGTAGGGCTAACGTTAGCAGGCTAGTAGGGCTAACGTTAGCAGGCTAGTAGGGCTAACGTTAGCAGGTCAGTAGGGCTAACGTTAGCAGGTCAGTAGGGCTAACATTAGCAGGATAGTATGGCTAACGTTTGCAGGCTAGTAGGGCTAATGTAAGCAGGCTAGTAGGGCTAACGTTAGCAGGTCAGTAGGGCTAACGTTAACAGGTCAGTAGGGCTAACGTTAGCAGGTCAGTAGGGCTAACGTTAGCAGGTCAGTAGGGCTAACGTTAGCAGGCTAGTAGGGCTAACGTTAGCTGGCTAGTAGGGCTAACATTAGCAGAATAGTTGGCTAGCAACCTTGCAAGCTGATTTGTAACAATAAATTCATAAATTATTTGCTTGTAAGTTGACTGAAAATGTCATTGAAACCAGTGAGTGCAAACAATTGTTTAATTTGAAGTTATACATTTGAAATTATTTCTGTTGGAATTTACATTATTGGGAATAGCATGGCTTGCCGGGACCTTCATATAACGTCACACCCCACAAAAACATTTTCCGGTATTGACTTCGGCACTCTGATCGGTTTTATGTAATACCTTGAAAAATAGAAAAGCGAGGTGTAACTTCACATTGGGACTTTTGATGCTTATACTAATGCAAATCCATATGTTACATATGCTACCTACCCTTTAAGTTGGAAGGTAAAACCAAATCATATATGGATGTGGCTGTAAATACTACATAATCATTCTCCATCATCCAGTGTTTTTCAATAGGATTAAGTGGAAAGAGTCACTATATGTGCTACTATTTGGAATTATAGTGTAGTCTAGAATACACTGCTGAAATACCTGGGTTGTATATAACAATATATTCCACTCATTATCTGAATTTCAAGCAGAGAGACAGGCGATACTGTATCAGTTGACAGGTCACAGAGAAAAGGTGATCTTGTACAATGTTTCATGTGGCAGAAATTGCATACAACACTGTGCTATGTTTTTACAGTAGCCAACTGCGTTACAATACCCCTATCTCTGATGATTTGTCCTACCTATGTACTGTATAAGAATAATGAAACTGTAAAAGACTGACATATTTCTCAACATGCTCAAAACCTGCCATTGGATACAAATGATTGTAAAAAAAACAGTGCAATGTCAAGTTATAGTCATATACTGTATGGAAAATTATATTTACCATGTATTATTTTTTCTTTTCAGTACTTCAAAAATAACAGTTTGAAATGTTTATCTTGTATTTTTTGCTATTGGATTAAATGGTAGTTACATTTGACTAAATGGTGAGCCTATCATTACCTGATATACTGGTGACTAAACAAAATGTTTCCATGGTATTTCACAAAAAACGTTGATTTTGCATGAATGACTCAGGCGTGAAAGATGTGTGAAACCCCAATGAATTCACAATCAAAGGTTCTGAACATAAGACAGGAACACTTACAAGTGTCATCAGTTTAGAGTTTTGTACTTACCAGAGTTGTAAAAATATACCAATTACATCTGGAAAATGTGCCAAAGTGATTGACAACAACGAATCAAAAAGCTGTGTTTACATCGACACACAGACACATATAAACACATACAGTTGAAGTCAGAAGTTTACATACACCTTAGCCAAATACATTTAAACTAAGTTTTTCACAATTCCTGACATTTAATCCTAGTAAAAATTCCCTGTTTTAGGTCAGTTAGGATCACCACTTTATTTTAAGAATGTGAAATGTCAGAATAATAGTAGAGAGAATTATTAATTTCAGCTTTTATTTCTTTCATCACATTCCCAGTGGGTCAGAAGTTTACATACACTCAATTAGTATTTGGTAGCATTGCCTTTAAATTGTTTAACTTGGGTCAAACGTTTTGGGTAGCCTTCCACAAGCTTCCCACAATAAGTTGGGTGAATTTTGGCCCATTCCTTATGAACTGAGTCAGGTTTGTAGGCCTCCTTGCTCGCACACGCTTTTTCAGTTCTGCCCACAAATTTTCTATTGGATTGAGGTCAGGGCTTTGTGATGGCCACTCCAATACCTTGACTTTGTTGTCCTTAAGCCATTTTGCCACAACTTTGGAAGTATGCTTGGGGTCATTGTCCAATTGGAAGACCCATTTGCGACCAAGCTTTAACTTCCTGACTGATGTCTTGAGATGTTGCTTCAATATATCCACATCATTTTCCTTCCTCATGATGCCATCTGTTTTGTGAAGTGCACCAGTCCCTCCTGCAACAAAGCACCTCCACAGCATGATGCTGTCACCCCCGTGCTTCAAGATTGGGATGGTGTTCTTCGGCTTGCAAGCAACCCCCTTTTTCCTCCAAACATAACGATGGTCATTATGGCCAAACAGTTCTATTTTTGTTTCATCAGACCAGAGGACATTTCTCCAAAAAGTACAATCTTTGTCCCCTTTCAGGTTATGTCGATATAGGACTCGTTTTACTGTGGATATAGATACTTTCGTACCTGTTTCCTCCAGCATCTTCACAAGGTCCTTTGCTGTTGTTCTGGGATTGATTTGCACTTTTCGCACCAAAGTACGTTCATCTCTAGGAGACAGAACGCATCTCCTTCCTGAGTGGTATGACGGCTGCGTGGTCCCATGATGTTTATACTTGCGTACTATTGTTTGTACAGATGAACGTGGTACCTTCAGGCGTTTGGAAATTGCTCCCAAGGATGAACCAGACTTGTGGAGGTCTACAATTGGCTAATTTCATTTGATTTTCCCATGATGTCAAGCAAAGAGTCACTGAGTTTGAAGGTAGGCCTTGAAATACATTTGTAAACAATTGTTGGAAAAATAACTTGTGTCATGCACAAAGTAGATGTCCTAACCGACTTGCCAAAACTATAGTTTGTTAACAATACATTTGTGGAGTGGTTGAAAAACGGGTTTTAATGACTCCAACCTAAGTGTATGTAAACTTCCGACTTCAACTGTACATATAAATACACACACCTGCAGCACATGCCCAGTGCAAAGAGTGAGATGGCCGTGATGTCACACTTATTCCACATGTCCTGGATGTAGAGCTTCATCCTCTGATATAAAGTAGTGCTGCCCCTGAAGAACGTCTGATAGATAGTGAGTGAGAGAGAAGGAGAGAGAGAGAGAGAGAGAGAGAGAGAAAGAAAAAATTGTCATTAATATGTATCTATAGTCACCTCCAAAATTAATGGCAGCCTTGATAAAGATGACCAAAAAATACACAGTGCTGTGAAAAAGTATTTGCCCCCTTTCTAATTCTCTACTTTTGCATATTTTTGATGCTGAACATTCTTCAACCAAAACCTAATATTAGATAAAGGGAACCTGAGTGAACAAATAACACAATTACATACTTAATTTAATTTATTTCATCAACAAAGTTACGCAACAACCAATGCCCCTGTGTTGAAAAAGTAATTGCCCCCTTACACTCGATAACTGGTTGTGCCACATTTAGCTGCAATGACTCCAACCAAACACTTCATGTAGTTGTTGATCGATCTCTCACATCGCTCTGGGGGAATTTTGGCCCACTCTTCCATGCAGAACTTCTTCAACAGCAACATTTGTTGCAAGACAAAAGACAAATGTTGACAGCAAGACCCAAAACACACAATCAAGTCTACATGAAAATGGTTAAAAAGCAACACATTTGAAGTTTTGGAATGGCGTAGTCAAAGTTCAGATCTAATCCCAACTGAGATGTTGTGGCAGGACTTGAAACGAGCAGTTCATGCTTGAAAACCCACAAATGTCGCTGAGTTAAAGCAATTCTACATGCAACAGTGGGCCAAAAATTCTCTACAGCGATGATCAACAACCACAGGAAGGCACAACCAGTTATTGAGAGTAAGGGGGCAATTACTTTTTCACGTAGGGGAATTGGGTGTTGCATAACTTTGTTAATTAAATAAATAAAATAAGCATCCATTTTGTTGTTATTTGTAAACTCAGGTTCCCTTTATCTAATTTTAGGTTTAGAGTTTGGTATTTGCATTATTTATTTTGCTCATCTTTATCAATGGTACCAATAATTTTAGAGCTGACTGTATATGTTTTTGCCTGTAAATATTGTGTGTATGTGTGTGTTTGCATGCAATGCGTTCTACCTGTCGAAACTCCTCACAGACCAGGGTGAAGACCCAGAAGTAGAGAATAAACTCTAAGGTGGATGGGCCATGAGGGGGCGGGGGCTTGAAGTCTAACAATAGGACGTAAGCAAATAGGCAGAGGAACAGGAAGTACATCAGCACGTTGCCTAGGAATGCGGTGACAGGCGCGAACCAGAACTCCCTCCAGCGCAGCAGTACGAAGGGCCTCTTAGGATTGGAGGAGGGGGCACCTTTCAGATTGACCCTTATAGCAGCATATTCCTCAGCATCCTCATCCCTGAGAGGACAAGAATTATAATAATTATTTGTGTGTGCGTGTGTGTGTGTGTGCGTGCTTACGTGAGCGTGTGCATTTACATGATGTCGGTGAGGGAGAACATGGTGGCATCTCCTCCGTCCAGACTGTCTGTGTCTTCACCATGAGACACCTGCTCAGTCTTCCCCTCTTCCTCAGGTTCCCTGAGAGAGAGAGAGAGAGAGAGAGAGAGAGAGAGAGAGAGAGTGAGAGAGAGAGAGAGAGAGAGAGAGAGAGAGAGTGAGTGAGAGAGTGAGAGAGAGTGAGAGAGAGAGAGAGAGAGAGAGAGTGAGAGAGAGAGAACTGACAAACATTGCGCAGAGGAAACTTTCCTTCACCACCAGCCTAATTTCTGTTATTCACACCTTATGAGGACAATAAGGAATGCTTCACATATTGGACATTTGCCACATATTGGAAACTTTTTTCCCTTCACCACCAACCACATAAAAAAAATATATAGTTTACTATAGTGTAAATACTTTAGTATTACTATAGTTATTGTCCTTGCGGACTGTATACTGCAGGAGTTTTCAAACTGGGGTCAGTGGAGATACTGCAGGGGTCCACCCAAAAAAAATATGCACATTTGGACATGTTTATTTTTTGGGGGGGGGGGGGGGTTTATGTGAAAAAAAATTTTTTTATGAATATCACTAGCTATAACAGAATACCATCGTGGATAAAAAATGGACTGTCTTCTTCCAAGTTAGACGTAGTTTCATGAGCCAATGCTAACTAGTGTGTGACTGGAAGTCTACAGGAACAGTTAGCATGCTAGCTGGTCCTGTTCAACCGACTCTGGGGAAGTAGACAAATATATTTTTTTAAATGGAGGAAATTACTGTCATTGCAACTAATTACAGGGTTTTTTCTGTATAGAAAATTCTTAGGCAGGCTGTCTAAGTGGTAATTTACGGGATGGAAAAACAGTTTGTGTCTATTGAACTATACTGTATACTTAACAATCAAATTAAAGCTAGACAGTCAGGGAGAACAGAAAATTCCCAAAACCGGGCATTCAGGACACATACCCATTGACTTTGCTATAATGTTTGAGCAGAGGAATACTGCATTAGCTCCATGTGTAGAATTGCAGGACATTTGTTTCAAAAGTGCAACATTTTCTCTCACCTTAATGAATTTTGTTGATTTGCAGAACATTTTCAGCTAAATATTCTATACGCTGCCAAGATACCTTTCTAGCTAATAGACTATGTTAGGGTTTACATTTCCTCTTCCAATTAACTGTAGCATTTACTATAGTGTTTTTGTTTCATTATCTTTCACATTGAAGTGGGGGCTTTCTCCTTGAGGAAACCTACTGGACAAAATACTAAAAGAGCACATTTTCCAAAACCTCTAAATAGGACTGTGGTCTGAACAGATAGTTCAGAGCTTCTGCTCTTTTCTATAACCTGTAGGGAACACAATATGGTCTATACTTGGCATGTAGGTTTCTCACTTATGGGTGGCACACATTGGGATACGGGGGAAGGGAATAGGCAGGGTATATGCAAATTAAATACTGTACTGGCAACTTTGCTCATAGTAATAACAACGAATTAGCTAAATGAAACAACAAGCTTTTATTCTGATAGTCCTCTATCAGCTTCAACGATGATTGATGACTAAGAAAGAGGTAACTGGGTGCGCTAGGCTACTATAGGATGACAGGAGCCCAATCCCATTTTTAGACATTTACATTTTAGTCATTTAGCAGATGCTCTTATCCAGAGCGACTTACAGTTAGTGAGTGCATACAATTTCATACTTTTTTCATACTGGCTCCCCGTGGGAATCAAACCCACAACCCTGGCGTTGCAAACGCCATGGTCTACCAACTGAGCTACACAGGGCTACAAATCCCTCAACCCTTCTCGCCTCTGCACTCGTTCACACCCCCTCAAAGATTTAAAAGCAGTGGATTGGTGTAACTGTATTGGTAGACATTTCATCTACACCTACCCAATGCTTTTACATATTTTTTTATCACTTTTCATGTTATTTTGGACAGCAAATAACCAAAGATCAAGGCAAGCAAATTACATTGGCAATAGAAGTGTGAACCTCATTATATGAATGGACAAAATGTTAGCAGCAAATCGGACCACTTGTGTTCATAACTACATCATTGATTGTAAATGACAGCTTTATAGTGCTGCATTACTAGATAGCTAGCTTGCTAATTATTTTGTTCTAAACCAGCCTGATTTCATTGATCTGTAGCATGTTATCTTGATATCTACCTCAATCAGCTCATACCCTTGCACAACAGCTTGGTACTGGTACCCTGTGTATGTAGCCAAGTTATTGTTACTCATTGGGTATTTATTCCTTGTGTTATTATTTTTATATTTATTCCTAGTGTTAAAATAATAATAATAATATTATTTTTGAATTTTTCTCCAATGTCATTTTTTTCTCCCTGCATTGTTGGGAAAGGCCCATAGGGAAGCATTTCACTGTCAGTCTACAGCTGTTCTTTATGAAACGTGACAAACTTGATTTGAGTTGCCCGAGTCAGCTGCAACAAGGGGAAGTTTGAGCTTGCGTATTCACATTGCATTGGGCATGCTAACTAAAATGTTTTAAAAAACTTGGAAATGAACTGTTTCCCTTCAGTAATCATTAAATATATGTACATTATAATAAAATAAAGGGTTTAAAGTGTTAAAAACCACAAAATTAACAATTACTACAAAATGAATTTTCATTTAATTTTGGCTTTTTTTCCTACAATGATAGGCGCCAATGGTTATTGTAGGCCGCACCAAAAGCATCTTAAGGCTAAGTTCATCGTTATAACCTTTGTAGGAGCATCATTAAATCTCCAAACTGTTTCCCAAAACCATCGTTATTAACGTTGCACTTGAAAAGCTCCTAATCTAATCTAACACCTGCCTCAGACCACTCGGACCACTGTGTTGCGGGAGGGCACATTTATTTATCTAATGGCTAGCTAGCTAATAAATGTACTGATTCCAAGCAAACGTAACTAGCTATACAGCCTGATACCAGTGAAGGTGTAGGCCTAAAATCAGCATGTTGTTTGTGCAACAGTATCTTCTAAATCAAAAAGGAATAGGCAAAGCATGAAAATGTTTGAATAATACCGTTATGTGATATTTTGGCCATATCGCCCAGCCCTAATTAGGGGGGACATGTCCCCCCTGTACCCTGGCTCCTACGCCCTTGGTTGAGAGCGACTTCAAAACCAAATGGTACATAGTCACAAAAGTACAGTAGATGGGGTTAGTTAAATTATGTTTTTAAACTAAAATGAATGGAGTGAATTTGGAGTGGCAGTTATTTTTTCCTGTGAGGGGTTTTTTGCGAAGCGGGTGAATGTGGACGTTGAGCGATTGAGCGGGATTTGCGACCGCTCAACTCCGCTCACATCCTCTGTTAGTATAGTATTCTACAGTATACTAAATTTTACTATAGCATTCTATTGTAAGTACTGTAGTATTCTATAGTAAACTGTAGTATTTGTTCCAAGTGGGTAGCCAATCTTCTCTGTATCTTAATGCTTATTATGCTTAATGGTTTGGAAATTCTCAGACAGACAGGTAGCCACTAACCTGAAGCTGATGAGGTTGGTGTAGATGAGGGGGGGTAAGAAGAAGGTGAGGATCAGTTTCCAGACCTCCGTGCTCCTCTCCATGTCTCCCCACCAGATCTGAGACAGCAGAGACTGCCAGAGGAAGAGGTAGAAGCAGAGTTAGTCCTGAGAAACTTCAATTAACCACCCTCCATGTTCTAACACACACACTTTGGAATTCTGGTTAGTTTTATAAAGATGAATGTGAACATACAGATCACACGTACACACAGATTCACACAGAGATTCACACACGTACGCACGCACACACACACACCTTGATCTCTGACCCCTGATCCCTTGGTTTAATACAGACCTGCAAGCCATCGTGACTGAAGAAAAGGCGGGCATCGGCTGCGGTGGCCATCTCCAGACAGGTAGCATCGCCCCACACCGGAGACTGCCTTATAAGGAGGGTGAAAGAGCGACTCTCACTGCTCTGGTAGCACTCACTGAACACATCTAGAGAGACGATTAAAGGGTTAACACTCCACACTCACTGAACACGTCTAGAGAGAGGAAACGGGTCACAGGTTTTCACATTAGGAATAAGGGGTGCAAATTGGTTTGCTTCCATCCTCATCCTACAGGCCTTGAGTCTGAAAATATTGCAAATGGTCCCAGACTGGGATGCCCTCCAGCAGACTTTTCGAACAGGTGGTCCCTTGCATTCTGATCCGGACCCGCTACTAGGCATTATGGGGTATTGCTTCACTCACAAAATACAAGCTGTTCACTTGTATGCAAAACAGATAAATGCCCCAAGGCATTACTTGGATACATTGACTGTCTAGGCTTTAATTGGGGAATCAGAATGTCAGGGAGCAGCCCAACACATTAAGAATCAGACTAGCAAAACATTTGGAACCAACTAAAATTGACACCCTCACAGCACAAACAAAAAGCCAGAATAAGGCTAACCCACCATGGGCCAAGTTCTCAAACTTCTGTGCTAGCTCCTTCATAGAGAGCTTGGCCGCCGTCTCACTCTCCAGCTTAGACAGCTCCCTCAGAATCGTACAGCCTGCCAGAGCACTGAGGACAGACTCCCCTGCCTAGACAGAGAGAGAGAGAGAGAGAGAGAGAAAGAAAGAGAGAGAGAGAGAGAGAGAGAGAGAGAGAGAGAGAGAGAGAGAGAGAGAGAGAGAGAGAGACAGAGAGAGAGAGAGAGACAGAGAGAGAGAGAGAGAGAGAGAGAGAGAGAGAGAGAGAGAGAGAGAGAGAGAGAGAGAATGAGCGAGAGAGAGAGAATGAGCGAGAGAGCGAGTGAGAGATAGAAAAAGGGGATTGTTTTAACATCAGTAACATGTCAGAGTTACGGTTCCGGTGGCATTGAAACGCTTGGCGTTCTCGTGGTTTTCTTTTGCAAAAATAACTATGAATTAACTGACTTATTTTCAAAGAATTGTCAACACATACAGTAACATCACATTAAGGTGTGGGACGTTCACTGTATTACAAGGAACAATAGCAGGTTTATTTCTCTCCAGCAGCTGGCATATTCTGTCCGTTCACAATTCACCTGTGGGAACATGGCGGCTTTCAACACCCGACAACAAAAAGAGTTGGCCACTACTATCCGAGAGATTGATTGTGAGGAAGTAACCTCTGCGCTCGACTTGCAATTAAAACCAATACATTAATCTATTGCACTGCTCACTTCTAAAGTGGATACCTACTCAACTAAAGTGGAACGTTTGGAGACAGCGGCCAATGTGACAGAGGGGCGACTCCATAACCTGGAAACAGTGCAAACTAAGCTAGAAGGGGAAACCAATCTCCTAAAAAAAGACAACAGAATAACTCAAAAATCATTCCCGTAAATTTGATGTGCGGGTCACAGAACTTGAAACTGGTGTGGAAGCGGACAACCCAACTTCCTTCATGAGCAATCTTTTCTATGAACTGTTTGGGGAGGAGAAGCTGGGTCCCATGACGCTGACAAACATTGCACACCGCACGGGTCCTCTCGGTTCTCGGTGTATGATTGTATGAATCCACCGTTTTGAAGTCAAACAGCAAATTGTTTGCCTCGCAGATAAATCGGGGGCTCTGACCTAGGGTTGAGCGATACATCTAATTAATTAAAATGTACAGTACCAGTTAAAAGTTTGGACACACCTACTCATTCAAGGGTTTTTCTTTATTTTGACTATTTTCTACATTGTAGAATAATAGTGAAGACATCAAAACTATGAAATAACACATATGGAATCATGTAGTAATCAACAAAGTGTTAAACATATCAAAAATATATTTGAGATTCTTCAAATAGCCACCCTTTGTCATAATGACAGCTTTGCACACTCTTGGCATTCTCTCAACCAGCTTCACCTAGAATGCTTTTCCAACAGTCTTGAAGGAGTTCCCACATATGCTGAGCACTTGTTGGCTGCTTTTCCTTCACTCTGCCCTCCAACTCATCCCAAACCATCTCAATTGTGGAGGTCAGATCATCTGATGCAGCTCTCCATCACTCTCTTTCTTGGTAAATTAGCCCTTACAAAGCCTGGAGGTGTGTTGGGTCATTGTCCTGTTGAAAAACAAATGATAGTCCCACTAAGCGCAAACCAGATGGGATGGCGTATAGCTGCAGAATGCCATGCTGGTTAAGTGTGCCTTGAATTCTAAATAAATCACAGACATTGTCACAAGCAAAGCACCCCCACATCATAACACCTCCTCCTCCATGCTTTACGGTGGGAACTACACATGCGGAGATCATCCGTTCACCCACACCGCGTCTCACAAAGACACGGCGGTTGGAACCAAAAATCTCCAATTTGGACTCCAGACCAAAGGACAAATTTCCACCGGTCTAATGTCCATTGCTCGTGTTTCTTGGCCCAAGCAGGTCTCTTCTTATTATTGGTATCCTTTAGTAGTGGTTTCTTTGCAGCAGTTCGACCATGAAGGCCTGATTCACACAGTCCACTCTGAACAGTTGATGTTGAGATGTGTCTGTGACTTAAACTCTGTGAAGCATTTATTTGGGCTGCAATTTCTGAGGCTGGTAACTCTAATGTATTTATCCTCTGCAGCAGAGATAACTCTGGGTCTTCCATTCCTGTGTGGTCCTCATGAGAGCCAGTTTCATCATAGCGCTTGATGGTTTTTGCGACTGCACTTTTCTACCTTGTTAGCAAGCAAATAGATTAGCTGGATACTCACTAGCACATGGGATTGTGCTTGAAAGATTGTTTATGAGACCTATGTTAATTTTCTATAATGCCTGCTACAAGAAGTTGGTAATTATTAGCAAGTTGGCATTTTTCGTCATGAATCTTGTTCTGGAGGAAGCTCTGCAGTGGTCACTAGCTGGTACAGCCACAAAGTCATAAAATCTATAAACCTAACCCTAACTTCACGGGGGGGGGGGGGGGGTTCTGGGTGGGGAACGACCAATGGGTGGGTTTCCCTGTGAGTCCTGCTTTTTGTTTCACATTCATGGGCTTATTAACACTAAAGATAACAATTACATCATTAATAATATTTTATTTTTAAAACAATGGCAACACTAGCTCTTCTCTCTTGGAATCTGGAAGGCCTAAACTGTCCTATTAAACGTTCCAGCTGTCTTGATATCCTAGTAACAAAGTTCCAAAAGGACTCACATAGAACAGAGAACCAATTGTACAAACTGGCTGCTTTTTCATCAGCCCCAAACAAAACTAAAGGTGTAATCATAATGGTACATAAGAAACTAAAAATTACCATCTTGGGTAAAGGCGAAGACCAAGAAGGTAGAATCACTTTCCTTAAATGTATCCATAATGGAAAGAAAATGGTATATGCGGTCTGTTAGAATTAACTGAATTCCATCTGGTTATTGGGACAGACATGAATGCAATTTTGGACGTGTGGGAAAAAGCTAATAAGACTAACTACAATTCACATGCAACCAAGGCACTCCAGCATATACAGTGGGGAGAACAAGTATTTGATACACTGCTGATTTTGCAGGTTTTCCTACTTACAAAGCATGTAGAGGTCTGTAATTTTTATCATAGGTACACTTCAACTGTGAGAGACGGAATCAAAAACAGAAATCCAGAAGATCACACTGTATGATTTTTAAGTAATTAATTTGCATTTTATTGCATGACATAAGTATTTGATCACCTACAAAACCAGTAAGAATTCCGACTCTCACAGACCTGTTAGTTTTTCTTTAAGAAGCCCTTCTGTTTTCCACTCATTACCTGTATTAACTGCACCTGTTTGAACTCGTTACCTGTATAAAAGACACCTGTCCACACACTCAATCAAACAGACTCCAACCTCTCCACAATGGCCAAGACCAGAGAGCTGTGTAAGGACATCAGGGATAAAATTGTAGACCTGCACAAGGCTGGGATGGGCTACAGGACAATAGGCAAGCAGCTTGGTGAGAAGGCAACAACTGTTGGCGCAATTATTAGAAAATGGAAGAAGTTCAAGATGACGGTCAATCACCCTCGGTCTGGGGCTCCATGCAAGATCTCACCTCGTGGGGCATCAATGATCATGAGGAAGGTGAGGGATCAGCCCAGAATTACACGGCAGGACCTGGTCAATGACCTGAAGAGAGCTGGGACCACAGTCTCAAAGAAAACCATTAGTAACACACTACGCCGTCATGGATTTAAATCCTGTAGCGCACGCAAGGTCCCCCTGCTCAAGCCAGCGCATGTCCAGGCCCATCTGAAGTTTGCCAATGACCATCTGGATGATCCAAAGGAGGAATGGGAGAAGGTCATGTGGTCTGATGAGACAAAAATAGAGCTTTTTGGTCTAAACTCCACTCGCCGTGTTTGGAGGAAGAAGAAGGATGAGTACAACCCCAAGAACATTGAGGGGAGGATGGATGGGGCCATGTATCGCGAGATCTTGGCCAACAACCTCCTTCCCTCAGTAAGAGCATTGAAGAGGGGTCGTGGCTGGGTCTTCCAGCATGACAATGACCCGAAACACACAGCCAGGGCAACTAAGGAGTGGCTCCGTAAGAAGCATCTCAAGGTCCTGGAGTGGCCTAGCCAGTCTCCAGACCTGAACCCAATAGAACATCTTTGGAGGGAGCTGAAAGTCCGTATTGCCCAGCGACAGCCCCGAAACCTGAAGGATCTGGAGAAGGTCTGTATGGAGGAGTGGGCCAAAATCCCTGCTGCAGTGTGTGCAAACCTGGTCAAGACCTACAGGAAACCTATGATCTCTGTAATTGCAAACAAAGGTTTCTGTACCAAATATTAAGTTCTGCTTTTCTGAGGTATCAAATACTTATGTCATGCAATAAAATGCAAATTAATTACTTAAAAATCATACAATGTGATTTTCGGGATTTTTGAAAAAAAAAAATTACAGACCTCTACATGCTTTGTAAGTAGGAAAACCTGCAAAATCGGCAGTGTATCAAATACTTGTTCTCCCCACTGTACTCTCTGATTACAGGCTAAAGCCCCCCATCTATATCTGTTACGTTCTTTGCTTTCAGGCTTTTCAGGGAAGGGGTGGTATAGGGTGGGGGGGGGGGGGGGCTCGGGTCATTGTGGGGGGAGGGCGTGGCGATTGGGGGGAATGTAAGGGGAGACTCAGGGGATGAATGGGTGGGAGGGGGACTGATAAGCAACCTCGGTTGCTGGGTGGGATGGGAAGGGGTGGGAGGCATGCTTTCTTCAGGTCGGGTTGGGTGGGGGGTGAGGGGCTAGGCGGGGTGGGAAACTTGGTTTTCAGGTGCGGAGGGAGGATGCAGGCAGGTGGATGGGGACAGGGGGGGAATGGGTTGGGGTTATCTTTGTATGTATTCATTTGATTGTTCCTGTAACCCCCACCCCCTCTAAAAAAGATAACAAAACGAAATGAAAAATGAGTCACAAAAAAATAAAAAGGGGAGAGAGATGCTAAAATGTGTCTGCATTGATACAGTTCTGAGAGTCAAGTACCCAACCATTTAAGAGTCATTGTTCATTGTTGTCATTACTGCTGCCTGGTCCCATACATTCTTAACTGACTTACCTGGTCAGATAAAAGTGAAATAAAATCATTATTTAATCAATTACCATCTCCCAGAAGTAGATGGCCATCTCGCTGCGGTTCTGCAGCACAGCCCAGATAAACAGAGAGGCCCAGGGATACACACAGAGCTGCTCCCTGTACGGACAATCCCCCAGCAACAACTTATTCACTTGCTGAGAGAGGGGAGAGATGGGGAAGAGAGATACAGCACATAGAGAGAGATAGGGAGAGAGTAAATACAGCTTGGTTAGCACAGCAGTCACAGTTTCCCATGACCAGTAATAAAGTGGTATCACCTTAGCAGCGTTGATAATTCAACTATATTGGTGGAGTCTACAGGCCTAGTAAGTAGTAAGTAGGCCTAGTTAGTACACATCACTGGACCTTGTCATTGAGAACAGATGTATTTGTAATTAATGTGCCCTGGTAGTGCACTATACACTTAGAAAAAAGGATTCCAAAAATCCAATAAAAATGTGTCACATGCACCGAATATAACGGGTATAGACTTTACCGTGAAATGCTTACTTATGAGCCCTTCTGTACAACTGACTAGGTATCCCACTTTCCCTTTCCTTTCCCTTCCCAATGACGCAGTGTTCTAAAAAATTTATACAGAATTTTTTTTTATAAGACCAGGAATAAAATTCACAAATATGAAGCTATATACGGGCAGTACAAGTACCATTTCACTGTGCAGGGGTACCAGGTATGTGTGGTAGATATGTACATGAAGCCAGGAGAAAGTGACTTGGTATCAGGATAGATAATAATAAGAGTAAAATAAAGAACAGAGTAGCAGTAGCATATAATGAGTGTGAAAGTGTGTGTGGCGTCACTATGCGCATGTGTGTGAGGGGGATGTGTGTGTGTTTGTGTGAGAGTGTCAGTGTAGTGTGTGTGAGTGTATATACAGTATGGTGTATATACACAGTGTACAAAACATTAGGAACACCTTCCTAATTTTCAGTTGCACCCCCTTTTGCCCTCAGAACAGCCTCAATTCGTTTGGGCATGGACTACAAGGTGTCGAAAGCGATCCACAGGGATGCTGGACCATTCTTGACACACACAGGAAACTGTTGAGCGTGATAAAAGCATCAGCATTGCAGTTCTTGACACACTCAAACCGGTGCACCTGGCACCTACTACCATACCCCGTTCAAAGGCACTTAAATATTTTGTCTTGCACATTCACCCTCTGAATAGCACACATACAAAATCCATGTCTCAATTGTCTTAAGGCTTAAAAATCCTTCTTTAACCTGTCTCCTGCCCTTCATCTACACTGATTAAAGTGGATTTAACAGGTGACATGAATAAGGGATCATAGCTTTCACCTGGATTCACCTGGTCAGTCTATGTCATGGAACACAGCAGGGGTTGGAACCGGTTCAGGGAACAGAACAACATTTTTCAAGCAACAGAAACAGAGCCTGGAACAACAGTGATCCATACTGTTCCAGAACAGAACGGTTATTTTAAAAGCATGGGAACCGGTTAATATCTATTTTACGTTCCAGGCATTTTTTTCTAGTTCAACAAAAAAACGCTACAAAGCGCCTATGCAAAACCCCCACTCTGTCACTCAGAAACTTATTCCAGTGTCTGCATGCAAGCTGAAAATCTTTGTCAGTGCGTGTGCGCGCGTTTAGGCTACCTGCCCCTCTCCCATCCGAAGCATAGGCTACTGTACAAACATTTCAATCGTGATTCAGAAGATAGGGAAAGAGATTTTAAATTCGCTAGACAAGAATGGATTAACGTCTTCAATGCTAGTTAAGGATATTATAGGCCTAGTTATCACGTTTCACGTTGAATTTACTAACTAAAAAAGGTAAGATGTGTTTTTAATTTTTAATTCTGGTGCCACTCTGCACACACAGGCTTGTTAGCTAGCTAGCTCAAAGGACAATAAAAGTTCCTCCATAGGAGCCGCTCATACTAGGTATAATTCTGTGAACCTAATTCAGATAATGCATGTCATAACAAGATGCCCAGCACTTCAAGCCTACTCCTCAACCCTCTCTTGCTTTCTCCCCACCCACAAAATGTCAGTCTCATCTTGCGCCATAGGCTACACTTGTCTGTCCATCACACATGTAAACAAATAGCTTGCCTGCTTTATCCGCACTGATTGGTAATTTAATGAGCTAAATGTAAAAAAAGGTTGATTTTACAGGTTAAAAAAGGAACAGAAAGGAATGATATAAACTTTTTTTTAGTTCAAACCAGTTCAGAACGTTCTTTTGCTGGTCGGAACAGTGGAATGGAATGATTGAAACATAATTTTGGTTCCAACCCCTGCTAAATAGTATTGTGAGTGTGCATAGCGTGAGTGCAAGATAGGGTCTGTACAGATAGCTAATGAAATGGTTACCCAGACTATTTAGCAGTCTTATGGCTTGGGGGTAGAAGCTGTCTCGGAGCCTGTTGGTCTGAGAGCCAATTCTTCGGTACTGTTTGCCTGACATTAGTAGAGTGAACAGTCTATGGCTTGAGTGGCTGAAGTCTTTGGCAATTTTTCGTGCCTTTCTCTGACAGCGCCTGATATTAGAGGTCCTGGATGGCAGGGAGTTCGGCCCCAAAGATGTACTGGGCTGTCCGCACCACCCTCTATATAATGCTTTGGGGTTGAGGGCGAGCATTTGCCATACCAAGCAATGTTGCAGCCAGTCAAGATGCTCTAGATGCTTCAGCTGTAGAACTTTTTGGCCCATGCCAAATATTTTCAGCCTCCTGAGGGGGAAGAGGCTCTGTCGTGCCCTCTTCACGACTGTGCGGGTGTGTGTGGACCACGTTAAGTCCTTAGTGATGTGGACGCCAAGGAACTTTAAGCTCTCAACCCACTCCACTACAGCCCTGCCAGACGTCTTTTTCCTGTAGTCCACGATCAGCTCCTTGTTCTTGGGACGTTGAGGGAGAGTCTGTTGTCCTGGCACCACACTGCCAATTCTCTGATGATCGTGCGTGGCCACACAGTCATGGGGGAACATGAAGTACAGGAAGGGGCTAAGCACAAACCCCTGAGGGGCCCCCGTGTTGAGGGTCAGTGTGACGGAGGTGTGGTTGTTGCCTAACCTCACCACCTTGGGCCGACCTGTCAGGAAGTCCAGTTGCAGAGGGAGGCGTTCAGTCCCAGGGTCCGGAGCTTGGTGATGAGCTTGGAGGGGACTATGTTGTTGAACGCCGAACTGTAGTCTAGGAACAGCATTCTCACATAGTTATTTACCCTCTTGTCCAGGTGAGAGAGAGCAGTGTGAAGTGCAATTGAGATTGGGTCATCTGTGGATCTGTTGGGGCGGTATGCAAATTAGAGTGGGTCCAGGGTTTCTGGGACGATGGTGTTGACGTGTGTCATGACCAGCCTTTCAAAGCACTTCATAATTACAGATGTGAGTGCTACGGAACGATAGTTTTACTCACATCGGCCACGGAGAGCGAGATCACTTTGCAAGCCAGCATAATGTGATTTGCAGGACTAATGTGGCCTGTAAACCAGGAGCTTCAGACCACTGTGTTAGGGTATAACTAGGCCCTCAAAGTAAGGCATTATGATATACAGTATGTCATGTATTGTGATAAAAGAGGTTAATTTAAAGGCTAATAAGGCTGTTAGAACCTTTTCATAGCAGGTTATACGATGAACTGTTCAAAGATAATAGGTTTATAATATAATAATAATATGCCATTTAGCAGACGCTTTTATCCAAAGCGACTTACAGTCATGTGTGCATACATTTTTACGTATGGGTGGTCCCGGGGATCGAACCCACTACCCTGGCGTTACAAGCGCCATGCTCTACCAATTGAGCTACAGAGGACCACAGGTTTCTCGGTAGAACCCTTGATAGAGGGTTATAGGAAGAACCTTCCCACTGGGCAAAAAGTGGTTGAATCAACATTGTTTCCACGTCATTTCAACAAAACTATTATTTGTGATGACATTGAATCAATGGGAAAAACTGATTGTATTTGCAAAAAGTCATCAACGTAAGGGAATTTCGTATTTTTCTAACCTAAATCCCATGTCATGGTGACATTTGTTCTTGATTTCACGTTGAATTCAAGTTAGTTGACAACTCAACCAAATGTAAATAAAAAATAGACGTTGAACTGATGTCTGTGCCCAGTGGGTTTAGACGATAAAAGGGTTCTTGGTAGAAGTGTTCCCATATGGAGACAAGCCGAAGAACCCTATTTGGTTCTACTTAGCAACCTTTTTTTCTAAGAGTGTATAGGGGAGAGAGTGCTATTTGGAACGCAGCTATGGCAGCCACTACCTTCAGTGTTCTCCAGGTGCTGGTGCTCTTGTCCAAACCCAGAGGACTGTAGTAGAAGGGCTGACACACATCTCCCAGGATGTCCCATAGTAACCGTGACACCTGGAGGGAGAGGCAAGAGGAAGTCATTTTTAACTGAGAACAGAATACCTAAATTAGACTAAATGCGCCTCAACTCCACACACAGCGAATGACCCCATACCTCCCCTTTCACACCTCCTATTTTACCAATTTACCATGCCATTTCTCAATAAATACCTATTCGTTTCTATACCATAAAATAAAGTGCAACCCCTCCTCACCTCATACAAGCTGAGCTCTTTGGCAGAGGAGGGTCCTGATATGGGGCTCATAGGGCTCTGGGGGCTCTTGAGGGGCGTGGGCTCATCCGGAGAGCAGGGGACAGTGGGCAGGGATCTGGCCAGGCTCTGCCTCTCTGTGAGGTGTCGCTGGAGAAGCGTGTAGGCCAGAGAGCTGTTGGACAGCGAGCGGTACAGGCCCTCCAGTCGCTGGTAGTTCAGGTAGTCCAGGATGTTGAGGCCGTTCTCGTTGAAAAGACGTACAAACTGGGGCTTGTTGTTGATCAGGGCATCCGTCATGGAGTCCTCCAGGTCCTCGTACTGCGGGAGGATGTTTTTATAAACATATCTATCTATCTGTCTGTCTGTCAAAAGTGAAATAATACCATCCTACCGAGTGAGAAAATAAAGGAACACTTCATAAATTGGAAGTTGTTGTGATTTCCAACTTCCCTTCTCTGTATTGTTCCAATTTCCAATTCGTGAAGAAGTTCCTTATTTTCCTCATGTTATCAGATACAGAGAAGTTGTGTCTGTCGTTTTGAATAGAATAAATGCACTGTCAACTAAATAACATTAAAAAAGAAAATAAATGGCGTTAAAGAGTGGCGTCAGAAGTGAGGAGCAGCTCACCCTCCATTGGATGTCTCCATTGAAGAGTTCACTCTTAGCGATGTCCACCCTGTTCCAGGCTACTGCAAGCTTCAGCTCCTCTGTGTACTCACTGGCATCGCTGGACACACGTTTACTGGCTGACAGAAAATTACATAGAACGAATGAATAGCTTGACCAGGATCATGTTCAACATATCTGTCAACAGATAGCAAACACACAACTCACGCACACCTACCTCTGACCAGAGCCTTCAGTAGCACTGTGTCAAAATCATCAGGACTGTCCTGCTCCCCGTGGAACACTGTGATCAGATCTCTGTTCTGATAGATACTCAGAGCCTGGGAAAGAAAGAGAGAAAACAAAGGAGTGAGAAAGAGGGGAGAGCGAAACAGAGAGAGGGGAGAGAGAGAGAGACAGAGAGAGGGGAGAGCGAGACAGAGAGAGGGGAGAGAGAGAGAGACAGAGAGAGGGGAGAGCGAGACAGAGAGAGGGGAGAGAGAGACAGAGAGAGGGGGAGAGAGAGACAGAGAGAGAGAGACGGTGAGAGAGAGAGAGAGAGACAGAGAGGGGAGAGAGAGACAGAGAGGGGAGAGAGAGACGGTGAGAGAGAGAGACAGAGAGGGGAGAGAGAGACAGAGAGAGACGGTGAGAGAGAGACGGTGAGAGAGAGAGACAGAGAGGGGAGAGAGAGACAGAGAGCGGAGAGAGAGACAGAGAGGGGAGAGCGAGACAGAGAGAGGGGAGAGAGAGAGACAGAGAGAGGGGAGAGAGAGACAGAGAGAGGGGAGAGAGACAGACAGAGAGAGGGGGGAGAGACAGACAGAGGGGGGAGAGACAGAGAGAGAGTGGAGAGAGAGACAGAGAGAGGGAAGAGAGAGACAGACAGAGAGAGGGGAGAGAGACAGACAGAGAGAGGGGAGAAAGACAGACAGAGAGAGGGGAGAGAGACAGACAGAGAGAGGGGAGAGAGAGACAGAGAGAGGGGAGAGAGAGACAGAGAGAGAGATAGAAAAACAAAGGAGAGAGAGAGGGAGAGAAAGAGGAATAAGCAGTATGATGAAGTGCTCACTCACTCACACACACCCCACCCCTTCCACACGCACCCTGTCCACAAGCTTCTCCCGGTCTGCCTCGGCAGGGAAGTGCCTCCTGACCCTCTCACGGGTCCTTTCGCGCAGCTCCACGCTGGGGCTCTTGCTCCCCTCACCCTCTGGCGGGGGAGAGGTGCAGCTCATGGGCACATCTGACAGGGCATCCAGCAGCTCACAGATAAGGTCTGCCGCTGGACCAGAACCATTCAACACCAGCCAGGGAGTAGCCTTCTTCAGAGAGAGATCCACCCTCTGGGGGGGAGGGAGGGAGGGAGAGAGTGTTTGGTGGGAGAAGGGAATGTTCTGGACATGGACAGTAAAGTTAAAAGTGATGATAGTGATGTTGTAATAGCTTACCTTCAGCATGGCAGCTTCCCCTGAGATGAGCATACACAGCACAGGGATCTCTATACTGCCACTACCTGGAAGATAACAGGTACAGGGAAGGGGAGGATGGGAGAAATCCATCAAATTAAGATTTTAGTCATGAGTCATTGATCAGATGTCATTGTGAATGTCCATCATATTAATGTAAATGTTTCATAAGAATGTCCACAAGCATTGTGGGTTTAGAACGGTTAGGTATTCGTATTCCTTATTAAAAAATATATGTAAAAAATTGGAACGCTTCACGATAGTGCGTGTCATCCTTGCGCACGGAGACCATGCTAATCTTCTCTGTATCAATCCAATTTAAATATGTGCCCCGACAGATCGGTCACAAAAGAGAAGAGGAGATTTCCTTGCATTTATACATAGTAAAAAAGCCAACTTAACCAAAAGCGTTATTATGTGAGTTGAGTGGACTTCAAATGGACAAGAATTTGAGCTAATAAAGATTGTTTACTCAACAAACTCTGTTCGAAGTGAGCTGAATTTGAAAAAGTTTGAGTAAAATTTCAAAATCATGTTTGCCTATACTGTATGTTGGTTCAGCTATATGCCCAAATGTTGGGCAAACTCAAAATCCTATTGCAGCTGTTTGCCTTACAAATTGTACGTTGAATCAACACTCACAGTGAGCCGAATTTGAACAAGCTTGTTGAGTAAAATTACAAATGTATGTTTGCTCAAAACCACGCCCATCATTATCATACAGTGTCTCCCAGCATGCTATATCGCAGGTTGATTTTCAGATGTTTTTTCTTTCAATACCTGTGTTTTTGCATGTACATTGATTGGTTGATTACACAAACATAAAAAAAATATCTAAACTAACCCAATCTGTTAGTAATTGGACTTTTTGCACCTGTTACCGAGATGGCTGTTCCAGTTTATATGATTTAGGTAGTCTCAATACATTTTCCTTGCCCTGGCTGTCATTCTCAGTGCGGGTGATTCAAAGTACCAATTGTTGGATAGTCTCACTCTGGCCAGAATTGCACATCATGTGGCCTGTCTGGTCCAATGGTTAAAGCCCCGGACCCGGCACACATGCACAGCCTAGGCTACCAGAGTCGGCATGGGTTCGAGTCCATTGTCATGGGGCATTCCGAGTATTTTATGTGAGCCGCATTATTTGGCTCTGTTTATGTAAAAGAGCCGCATCATTTGGCTCCAAATGGATCTTCATTCAAAATGCTTGAAAATCTGAAAAAATGCACACATCTCAAATGTAAAGCCAAAAAAGTAGGCTACCATTATGTCAGATCATGATATGCATGTTCAAATAGCTACATTTTTACCTGGCCAAATTATTAGACCGCCTGAAGAAAACAATAATAATAATAATAATAATAATAATAATAATAATAATAATAATAATAATAATAATGATGCTCACTGCAATAATGAGCATGGACCAGAACGATGTGCTCCCCTACTATTTATTGTTTCTGCAGTGATGATTCACCATCTTCAGACAATGATTGTGTAACTTATTTGCAGATAATCGTTGTTTGAAGATCAAAAAGCAGTAGTAGCAGTGTAGCAGTACGCAAATCAGAGAGCCAATTGAACGTCTCTTTAACCAATGCGATTCAGTTCCCAACGTTCACCAAAAAGAGCTGTTCAAAAATAGCCTTTCGTTCGCGAACGACCCATCACTAATCTCTCCTACCTTTCCTGTCTCCTCTTCACTGTCTGATCTCAATAAAAACATAATCCCCCATACCCCCAAAAAGGAAGTAAACATCACTTTGCAAGCCAGCATAATGTGACTTGCAGGCTTGATGTGGCATGTAAACCAGGAGTTTCAGACCACTGCGTTAGGGTGTAACTGGGCCTAGGGTCTTTAGATGGCAGATAATGACCACTCCACAGACAGCATAAATTTGGCTTACCGTAGTAAGTGGTGATAAGAAAAGTCACACTGTCGATCTGAACTTAGTACACCTTCAATGAGCGGCTTGAACATACTGCACTTCACCTGTACACCTATAATGCATTTTATAAACTTTTAGGAGATGGGCGCTAGTCTTACCAGTATGTGTGTGTCTTTGCGTATGTGTGTACTGTGTCTCACCCCATATGCCGGCGCGCTGGTGGGAGATGTAGTCTTCCATCTTGGACCTGAAGGCTGTTTCCCCTCCCCGCCGGCCTACACTACCATCATCCACCAGCAGGAAGGCCTGGTAGTTATTATCCAGGCAGCACGAGTCACGGGACGTGTTCTGGACATAATACCTCGCTGGGAAACTACCCTGAGAGAGGAGGAGGAGGGGGGAGGAGAAACAGAGAAAGAGAGGGGGTATAGAGAGAGGGGGGGAGGGGGAGAGACAGAGAGAGCAAGGGTAGAGAAGGGGCTCAGTCAATGTAGAGAAAAGAAAGGAGGGGAGAGAGAAAAAGCGAGAGAGAGGTCATTGTGATTACCATCCATTGTGTATTACAATGTCCTTGTTGTTACTAATTATATTTCCTGTGGTTTTGCTTTGCTGAGTGAGAGAGGGTGAGAAGCAAAGAGGGGAGAGATGAAGGAAAGTGAAGGACATTCTTTATTTGTATACAGTGTCAGTGTACAGTAGTGTGTTCCTGTGCCTTCTTACGTGCGTGTGTCTGTGCATGTTTCATTCTGTATACGTTGAACATTGTGTGTGTGTGGTCATGACATGTGTGTGTGTGCATTTGTGCGTGTGTGTAAGTGTGTTTGTGTCTCTGAGCGTGCATATGTGTGTGTGTGTACCTGTGCGTTGACTAGCTGCTCTCTGTTATGCACCATCCCCCAGGGGGCCACGCCCACAGCAATTACTTTCTTCTGGGAGAGGAAGGACGCTGCCGCAGCATGATCTCTCACTGCCTCCCCAACACAACGACCCACCCCCTCCCTCAGCCCCCCCGTCACTATCCACGCCCCTGGGATAGAGAGAGGAAGTGACAAAGAGAAGAGGAGGGGGAAATGTGGGGAGAGAAGGGGGAGGGGAAGAGAGGGAAGTGAGGGAGTGAGAGAGAAATGTTTATGACACAGTAAGTGCATACATTTTTTGAATAAGTATGTAATCCCTGTAGGAATTGAACCCACAACCTTGGAATAGCAAGCACCACATTCTTACCAACTAAGCAACAAAGGATCATAGACAATAAACAATATACAGATAAGGAACAAGAGCCTGTTGGTTATTAGTCAAGGGCACTGTGAAAATATGTGAGATGCATCCATCCTTTCCTTCAAAAGTCAATTTGTCCATTTAATGGCAGTGAAAGATGACGTCAAATCAATGATTATGTATTGGAATAAGGCCCAGAAAGGGTTTTCTTTCAAATACTCAATTTGAATGCTCACTTATGCACTTATATGAAACTACTGTTCAGTATATCCTGTTCCTTCTCTGGATCAGCTGTCATCTGAACTACTGGTTTGCCTCTTACCATTGCCGTGTCTGCAAGCTTTATTATGCTTTATGGCTGAACTTGCTTATTTCCCTGCCTTGATTTAATGAACCTGGCCTAGGTGGTCATGTGTCCTGTGAACATCTAACCAGTACAGCCAGAGGAAGAGGAGGAAGAGGAGGAGACGCAGAGCTTCAAAATGGTACAGTATATCTTACACTGTAGTTGGAGGAAACACTGGGAAATTATGCTGCTTTGAAAGTTAATAAACCTGTAAACCCACTTAGGAGACATGTAGGAGAAAAAGCCTTTGAAAGCCTCTTCTTTGTTTACGTCCATTCAGCATTGTTCACACCCCACCTAGCCCCAACCATGCATGTGAGTCAGCATGGCATTGTCCTCCAGAAACTAGTCTCTCCAGTTCCTACTCCAGTCTCATTCTCAGCTAATGTATTACCTGATTTACTTCAAAGGCATCAGAGGGCACCATCAGGCCAACTCCTTGAATGGCTTACTCCATGAAGTTTGTACTTTTGTCTAAAAAACTATTTTGCTCAAAACATTTTTTTTTTTTACCTTTAAGTCCATTACTGTATTTATAAATGGGATATTGTTTTTAAAAGTTCAAAAATAGCTGGAGTACGTCTTTAAAAGTATACTATGGTGAGTTGAGAAGACAATCAGAAATGCTGTTAGAATGTTTTTTTCAATTGACTGCCATAGACCCCCAATTAAAAAAGTAAACATTGGCTGTTAATTACTTTTTTTTTTTCACATGGTTGGGCTCGCGATCAGTTTGAGATATAAAAATAGGGTTGTGGGCCAAAATAGTTTGGGAACCCCTGTACTATAGTATTTACTGTACTGTTTTTACAGATTGTAGTACGGTGTACTATAGTATTTACTGTAGAGTTTTGTTTTATTATCTTTGACATAGAAGTAGGGGGCTTTCTCCTTCTGGAAATCTACTGGACAAATACTACTCTGAACAAAAATATAAATGCAACATGCAACAATTTCAAAGATTTGACTGAGTTACAGTTCATATAAAGGAAAACTGTCAATTGAAATGAATTCATTAGGCCTTAATCTATGGACTTCACATGACTGGGAATACAGATATGTCTTGGTCAAATATATCTTTTTTTTAATGTAGGGGCGTGGATCAGAAAACCAGTCAGTATCTGTTGTGACCACCATTTGCCTCATGCAGAGCGATACATCTCCTTCATATACAGTTGATCAAGCTGTTGATTGTGGCCTGTGGAATGTTTTCCCACTCCTCTTCATTGGCTGTGAAAAGTTGCTGGATATTGGCGGGAACTGGAACACGCTGTCGTACACGTCTATCCAGAGCATCCCAAACGTGGAAGAACTGGGACATTTTCAGCTTCCAGGAAATTATCTGTGCATTATCTTGCTGAAACATGAGGGGATGGCGGCGGATGAATGGCACGACAATGGGCCTCAGGATCTCGTCACGGTATCTCTGTGCATTACATTGACTTTATAATCTCATGTCATTGCCAACCATACCTCAAATTTAGATGACTAGTAAACACAATTTGATGACGTAGTACACAAAAAACAGGGACCACTTTTGCCTCGTGAGCACCACTTTCAAAACTACTAGCTGAAATTATACAAATTATATACAAGTTTGAGAGTGCATCTTTAAGGTTGAACAATGAGGCTTACAGAGGTGTATGAGTTCCTTAGAGCATATGCAAATCCCAAAGTTGGAATAGTTACCACTTTATTAATACATGTAATCAACAATGTCAATAATATTATATTAGAATATAAAATATGCATAAATATTCAAGGCAAATGTAAATTTTTTGTGTACAAACTTAACATGATGAACAGGAATGACATTTCCTCAAACGTGGCCAAAAATTACTATCTGAAAGCCACGGCCCCAATAAGCCACGCCTCCAATCTTCTGATAGGCTGTCACCTCTACAATATATTATTTTTAAAAATCAAAATTGTACCCCTCCCATCACAAAAAGGTTCCAGTTTGAGCCTTTACACAGGTTCCTCGAGAAACCTTTTTGAACTGGAAAGGTTCCCAATTTTTAGAATCCCAAAAGGTTATTCTAGGCTCCTTTACTTCTAAGAGTGTATGAATGAATTATATTTTAAACAAATAGATGAAACAGAGTGGGCGTTGTCCTCAGCTGTGCTCTGACCAGCCTCAATCCCAGGACACCAGTGTGTGTCTGTTTGTGTTGGTCTCACCTGTTCTGTGTGCCGCCTTGACTAGCCCCTGTCTCAGCACCTCCCTGACCCAGGTCTTGACCTTCTCACACCCCCCACCCCCCACAACAGAAACCACCAGGTTGGGGGAGGACACCCCCCAGTGGGCTGTCATCAGGCTGTACACGATCTGAGGTGGGGTGTCACATGACAGACGCAGGAACTGACCAATAGGAAGAGAAGAGGAGAAGAGGGTGGGGAAGGGACAATGAGTATCGCCACACAATAAAGTTATGATGATCAAGAGGCTACATAAAGTGCTGCTTGCTAGTTGCTTGTTTTGCCTATATGGTGTAGCTAATCGAAAGTGAAGAGATATCGGTACAGGTGAGAACATTCCGTCTGACTGAGCCAATGTTGTGAGGCCTGGCAGCACTGCTAATACACTGACTCTTCTGCCATGGTTCCATAGAATGCCTGATAGACGTTCTGCTGTGACAGCCTCATATCTCACCACTGCTAAATCTCTCTGTATTTATGAACAACACTTCACCAGCAACGTACAGCTCAACCAGACCCGATGTAGATGAGCAAAAGATTGAAATGAACTACACTACCGGTCAAAAGTTTTAGAACACCTACTATCTTCAGTATACCCCCCCTACCTTGTCACAACACAACTGATTGTCTCAAACGCATTAAGAAGGAAAGAAATTCCACAAATTAACTTTTAAGAAGGCACACCTGTTAATTGAAATGCATTCCAGGTTACTACCTCATGAAGCTGGTTGAGAGAATGCCAAGAGTGTGCAAAGCTGTCATCAAGGCAAAGGGTGGCTATTTTGGTTACTACATGATTCCATATGTGTTATTTCATAGTTTTGAAGTCTTCACTATTATTCTACAATGTAGAAAATAGTAAAAAATAAAGAAAAACCCTTGAATGAGTAGGTGTTCTAAAACTTTTGACCGGTAGTGTACATTCACATTTTTGTCATTTAGTGTTAATGAATGGCTGCGTGACGTATTCACTTCATAACATATAGCATTGTATAACATCATGAGATTAGCATGAACTCAATCTCTCAATAGGGTAATGTGGTAACATAGCTGAGTCACTTGATGGTTATGAGTAGACGGGCACTAAGCCAGCTACCTAATTCACGAATCAGCCAGCCACCATACAGACAGAGATGTGTGTGTGTGTGTGTGTGTGTCCTAGTGTTATTTATACCTTAGTAATACCCTGGGGGGGGGGGGGGGGGGGGGGGGGGATTGAGTGCTGGACACAGCTGAATAAACACACACCGTCCTCTATGAGGTCATCAACAAGGGCCAGAGGCCAAACCCAGGACACCAATGTTTGTGTTATTTTGCCCTTGCATGAGTGTGTGTATGGGCGCGTGTTTGTAAGTGTATGCATGCCCGTGTGTGCATATGTTGGTATGTGCATGCGCTTACGTGTGTGTGTGTGTGTTACTCACATGGCTGTGTCTCCTGCCAGCCCCTGCGAATTCCAGCTCTCCGAAGGCGTCGGTGGGGTACTCCGAGGAGTGCTGGGAGCTGTCCCACTGGCTGACGATGGCGGCTCCGAAATAGTCTCCTGTAGTATTGGAGCCGTGTGTCTCCCGCATGCCCCCGCACTGACACAACAAACCATTGCTGACAGGGAGAGAGAGAGAAAGACACACATACATGTATACACACACACAAACAACATTTGCTTTGCATGGACCAGACACATTTTGCATTGTCACTGTAATGTAACTGTATTGTGTCAGATATTGGGTCAACACAGCGACCCAGAGAGAGGCTGTACCTTAAAGAGTCCTCTACGAATGTGGTGCATACTCTCTTCCTGATGATGTTGGGGATCCAGCTCTAGGAGAGAAAAGTTGATTACGAGCAACTAACAGGGACTCTATCTAATTTTACATTTACATTTTAGTCATTTAGCAGACGCTCTTATCCAGAGCGACTTACAGTTAGTGAGTGCATAATTCTTTTTTCTTCATACATCTCGGCTACAGATGTTGAATTTTATGTGAAACTGGATGTATAGTAGCAATTAGCAAATAGCCAAGTCATCATACACATTGCACGAAAGTATGTGTGAGTGTGTGTGTGTGTGTGGACTGCATGGACATGATATTGTGCAAGGGCTGCTAGGGATTTAGGGGCCGTCTGAGGGCTTTAACCCCATAAGGTTGATGTCCGCGCCCCCGCGGAAATCTAATTAGAATAATACAAAAATCCCCATAACAATCTGTCAGTTTAAGCTATGTCGCACTTCCGCATGTGCAGTGAAAAGTGACAGAGCTAGAGCGGTGTTTGTCAGACCATGAGACATCCTGAAACTCGGTCATCTCACAAAATGGTCTGTAGTGACCCCTCTATGGAAAGATGAGACTCTCACGAACACGATGGTCCGTTTTGTTCTACGACCCACAAGCGTCTTGGGACTTATCTGAAGTCGGTACAGCCGATCTGCCAACTTCAGTCTGTAGCGTCTGAACGGTTTGAGCTACACATTAATATGTGGAAAGGTGAGACTCTCACGAACACATACAGTGGGGAGAACAAGTATTTGATACACTGCCGATTTTGCAGGTTTTCCTACTTACAAAGCATGTAGAGGTCTGTAATTTTTATCATAGGTACACTTCAACTGTGAGAGACGGAATCTAAAACAAAAATCCAGAAAATCACATTGTATGATTTTTAAGTAATTAATTTGCATTTTATTGCATGACATAAGTATTTGATACATCAGAAAAGCAGAACTTAACATTTGGTACAGAAACCTTTGTTTGCAATTACAGAGATCATACGTTTCCTGTAGGTCTTGACCAGGTTTGCACACACTGCAGCAGGGATTTTGGCCCACTCCTCCATACAGACCTTCTCCAGATCCTTCAGGTTTCGGGGCTGTCACTGGGCAATACGGACTTTCAGCTCCCTCCAAAGATTTTCTATTGGGTTCAGGTCTGGAGACTGGCTAGGCCACTCCAGGACCTTGAGATGCTTCTTACGGAGCCACTCCTTAGTTGCCCTGGCTGTGTGTTTCGGGTCGTTGTCATGCTGGAAGACCCAGCCACGACCCATATTCAATGCTCTTACTGAGGGAAGGAGGTTGTTGGCCAAGATCTCGCGATACATGGCCCCATCCATCCTCCCCTCAATACGGTGCAGTCGTCCTGTCCCCTTTGCAGAAAAGCATCCCCAAAGAATGATGTTTCCACCTCCATGCTTCACGGTTGGGATGGTGTTCTTGGGGTTGTACTCATCCTTCTTCTTCCTCCAAACACGGCGAGTGGAGTTTAGACCAAAAAGCTCTATTTTTGTCTCATCAGACCACATTACCTTCTCCCATTCCTCCTCTGGATCATCCAGATGGTCATTGGCAAACTTCAGATGGGCCTGGACATGCGCTGGCTTGAGCAGGGGGACCTTGCGTGCGCTGCAGGATTTTAATCTATGACTGCGTAGTGTGTTACTAATGGTTTTCTTTGAGACTGTGGTCCCAGCTCTCTTCAGGTCATTGACCAGGTCCTGCCGTGTAGTTCTGGGCTGATCCCTCACCTTCCTCATGATCATTGATGCCCCACGAGGTGAGATCTTGCATGGAGCCCCAGACCGAGGGTGATTGACCGTCATCTTGAACTTCTTCCATTTTCTAATAATTGCGCCAACAGTTGTTGCCTTCTCACCAAGCTGCTTGCCTATTGTCCTGTAGCCCATCCCAGCCTTTTGCAGGTTTACAATTTTATCCCTGATGTCCTTACACAGCTCTCTGGTCTTGGCCATTGTGGAGAGGTTGGAGTCTGTTTGATTGAGTGTGTGGACAGGTGTCTTTTATATAGGTAACGAGTTCAAACAGGTGCAGTTAATACAGGTAATGAGTGGAGAACAGGAGGGCTTCTTAAAGAAAAACTAACAGGTCTGTGAGAGCCGGAATTCTTACTGGTTGGTAGGTGATCAAATACTTATGTTTTCTGGATTTTTGTTTTAGATTCCGTCTCTCACAGTTGAATTGTACCTATGATAAAAATTACAGACCTCTACATGCTTTGTAAGTAGGAAAACCTGCAAAATCGGCAGTGTATCAAATACTTGTTCTCCACACTGTACATGTCGGTTGTTTTGCTCTAGGACACCCACCGGCCTCACAAGACTCATCTGAAGGTCCCCCGGAACCAGTTGAAAAAAAGGAATGGTAGTCCCTCATTAAAATGCAAATCAATGTATAAAATTTTTGACATCCGTTTTTTCAGGATTTTTTTGTTGTTATTCTGTCTCTCACTGTTCAAATAAACCTACCATTAAAATTATAGACTGATCATTTCTTTGTCAGTGGGAAAACGTACAAAATCAGCAGAGGATCAAATACTTTTTTCCCTCACTGTACAATCCTAGAATGACAACATAGAAAACACAACATAGAACACCACACCCTGACTCAACATACCAGAGTCCCATAAGTCAGGGCATGACAGTACCCCCTCCCCCCCCAAAGGTGCGGACTCCGACCGCACAAACTTTACATAACAGGGTAGGGGCCGGGTGGGCATTCCGCCTCGGAGGCGGATCCGGCTCCGGGCGTGACGACCACATACTCTGCGCCTCCCTGTTGCGCCCCTGATCTGGTCTGAACCTCGGCATGCTGCTTCCCCTCTCCTTCCTCCCATGAAGTACCAAGCCCTGTCTGGACCCTGGTGTGGGAGACCCCGAACCTGGAGAGGGGCTGACGTCTGGGCCTGGACTGGAGCCGCCTACCGGAGCTGGACTGGGCACCGGTGGAGCGGACTGCTCTGGCTCCGGACTGGCGCCGCTGACCGGAGCTGGACTAGGCACCTGTGGAGCGGACTGCTCTGATTCCGGAGTGGATCCGCTGACCGGAGCTGGACTGGGCACCGGTGGAGCGGACTGCTCTGGCTCCGAAGTGGAGCCGCTGACCGGAGCTGGACTTGGCACCGGTGAAGCGGACTGCTCTAGCTCCGGAGTGGAGCAGCTGACCGGTGCCGGACCAGGCACCGGTGGAACGGGCACGGGCCGTGCCGGACTGGACACACGCACCACTGGTCTGGTGCGAGGAGCAGGAACGGGCCGGGCCGGACTAGGAACACGCACCACTGGCTTGGTGCGAGGAGCAGGAACGGGCCGGGCCGGACTGGCAACACGCACCACTGGCTTGGTGCGGGGAGCAGGCACGGGCCGGGCCGGACTGGGAACACGCACCACTGGCTTGGTGCGAGGAGCAGGCACGGGCCGTACCGGACTGGGAACACGCACCACTGGCTTGGTGCGGGGAGCAGGCACGGGTCGGGCTGGTCTGGGAACATGCACCGAACAGGAATGGGCCGGGCCGGCCTGTGGAGGCGGACTGGAGGTCTGGAGCGGAGAGCTGGCACAACCCATCCTGGCTGGATGCCTACTTCCGCACAGTACGTGTGTGGCATTAGCACAGGACGCACTGGGCTGTGCACGCGCACTGGCGACACAGTACGTAGCTCCGCATAACACGGAGCCTGCCCAGTCATACGCTTCCTAGCGTGAGTATGGGGAGTTGGCTCTGCTCTGAAACTAGGCTCCGCCAACCACCCAGTGTGCCCCCCCCCAAAAAAAAATGTTATTGGGGCTGCTTCTCGGGCTTCCTCCTCGACCGGCACCCTCCGTGTTGCCGTTGCTCCAAATTAACACCTGTGGACTACATGTAATAAAGTAGCCTCTGCTTCCAGGCCTCGGTCACATTGTTCTCGAGAGCCTGGGGAAGTTCATATTGGAAAGGTAGGTATGAGTGGAGCGCTGATTGCCAGCGGCAATTATCCAGAGTAAGATAATTTACGGTGCTAGCATTGTTAGCATACTATATTTTTGAAACTGGATATTTCTGAAATAGTTTTTAATTAATTTTTTATATAATTTGGTTGAAATGACACTACCCCAAGTGGGCACCAGTGAAAATGATTGGCTTTCGGTTTCGACTCGCCGCCTTTGTTCATAGCCACGGGAAGTCGGGGTTCTGAGGGTGCTGCAACAACAACAAAAATTACTAAAGTAGTGCACTGGGCCTTTAATGGTCCTATATTAGCAGACGAATATATCAGTCCACAGCGCCAGCACGGGCAAAGATATTTGTCCGTGGGTCCTCAGATCCTCAAAAAGTTATACAGCTGCACCATCAAGAGCATCCTGACTGGTTGCATCACCACCTAGTATGGTAACTGCTCGGCCTCCGACCGCAAGGCACTACAGAGGGTAGTGCGTACAGCCCAGTACATCACTGGGGCCAAGCTTCCTGCCATCCAGGACCTCTATACCCAGGCGGTCTCAGAGGAAGGCCCTAAAAATGGTCAAAGACTCCAGCCACCCTAGTCATAGACTGTTCTCTCTGCTACCGCACGGCAAGCGGTACCGGAGCACCAAGTCTAGGTCCAAAAGGCTTCTTAACAGCTTCTACCCCCAAGCCATAAGACTCCTGAACAGCTAATCAATTGGCTACCCAGACTATTTGCATTGCCCCCCCCCCCCCCCCCCTCTTTTACACTGCTGCTACTCTCTGTTTATTATCTATGCATAGTCACTTTAACTCTACCTACATGTACATATTAGCTCAATTACCTCGACTAACCTGTGAACCCGCACATTGACTCTGTACCGGT